TGACTGACTATGGCATTGGCGTTGCCTTTTTATAGACGACAGCAGGCGAGAGCGTACAACTGAAGTAAGAGAGTGCCAGAGGGAGAGAGCCTCATGGCGAGAGCGAGCCTGTCGACCCGTACGTTTGACGGAACGTTACGCTACGTAACGTAAGCGTAAGCTTAAGCGATTTGCCAACTGTTCATTTACTGCCAACGTTGCCACTTCCGCTACTTGCTGCAGACGTCGCCAAGAGTATGCTAAATGCTGAACTTGACCTTGGTCAACAATTGCAAGTTGAAACACTTTCGGTCTTCAAAACTGCTTAGCCTTAAAGGCACATAAACGCCTAGATGCATTTAACATTTGGGTTAATGGGCGCTTTCCAGCCCAGCTGTATGCACATTAAACTGACCATCAATCAGGGACCGGAAGCCACCCGGACACTATTGTCAATGGCATTTAAAGTTTGCTGCACGCATATGGCGTGCCTCGCCCATGTCTCGTAAAACTTAACTGCAGGCAGCACATGCAGCAGGAGAAAACTTTAGCGCTTACACGAACATACATGCCATTGGGTTCAAGAGCGAGACCAAGACCAAGTGCAAGTCCAGGGTTCATGCCCCGTAAATTGTCGCCTTTACTTGCGCTCTGAAAAGCGTTAAGCGTTTGCGACTTTAGTGCCACACGACAAATTACAAAAGCAATGCCTAGAAGCTACCATTGCGCTCGAACAACTTTTACTCATAGTTTGAGCTACGCGATTTTGTTTGTTTATTCACGACCAAACAGCAAACGGTGCAACTTGATATGCCAAAATGATGGATGGCAGGGAGTAGGTGACGTGTGTGAACTTAAAAATAAAAATCTATTAAACTGACGGAAGAAATCATCGTCGATTCCATAAGGTGTTCATATTTCTGATCAGAATAATAAAGTGTACCGAAAAAATCTTTCTGTAGTAGGTCAATATGCATTCAATTTTCATTGTATCGTTAAATATAGATTTTGAGACATGATTTTTAAGCAAGGCTTGGCATTTACAAGAGCTAGATATATAAAATTTATTATGTAGGCTCTCGAAATAGTATACAAAAATTAAGAAAGCTTGGTTCATTTTTCCATTATTAGAAAATTGTTGTTGCTTGTTAGCAAGAAGACCCAAATCAAAGCCTCGGCTTGTGTGTAGGAAATCAGTTATACGGAACTAACCTTGTTGAGCTTACACCTCCGGCTTGGATGAATCTGATTTTACTACTGCTACAATAAGAGATAACAACTTATATCATAAATCATCCATCTAAACATTGATGCTTTTCTTTGCAGATGACCGAAAGCCAGTAGACAGTCTAATATCAGATTTAATATTAGCTAAGCAGGACTAGTATTTTAATAAATTAAGTCAAAAGAATTATGATTATGATATTAGGCTGTAAGCCAAATCTTAAGTTACCCTCTTATAGAACAAAATATATTTGTCTTTGGGATGTTGCAACAACATGTTGTAGCAGCTTAGCTATATACTATAAAATATAAATCCTATGTCCTTCAGTTAAATTATTTATATTTCGTTGATTATTCTTTATTATTATTATTCTTATTATTGATTATATTTTGGTTATGCCAGTTAATACATTTGTAAATTGCAAATATTTTCTGAATATTTATTTGACATTTTTGTAAAAGATTATCGCTCTCAAATTCTGTCTGCAATGCGTTTTTCCCAATTAGCTTATTTACTTAAATTCTATCATTTGCACATGTCGGACAGCATTTGGTCATATGCCAATCGTATGGCGCATAAAATATGTACTCATTAAATATTAATATGGCAATTATCAATTAAAATTGCCACGAATTGCAAACGTAGAACTTTTCGGCATTTGGGCATATCAAATATTCATTGAGTACGTGCCAACGTCAAACGAGTCAAACGAATTGTAATCGATAGCAAATGTAGATTGAACTTTGTGTTATGCTGTCCCAAGTTTTGTCATATAAATTATGTATTATTATAACAACTACAAACATACAGAAAGTGCTGGCATATTCCGTAAGTAAATGAATTGACAGGTAAGCTCGAAGATAAAGTTGGCATCTAAATTGACAAGCGGAAATGGAGTGCAAAGATGTTGTTATATAATTTATTTAACGCATCAACTAATGCAATTGGCGGGCAGAAATATTTGTATGTATTTTTACAAATCGCCTTACTATGTGATTCCCATGAATTAACAGAACAATAATTTTCATGCTTTAATAAAAGTATAGAATTAGTGAGCTATGTTGGCATTGTTATTAACTTTATCCCTGCTCATACTGTCAAGGTAATTTAGGGTCTTACATTTGTTATTTCACGTCACGGGCTATTTGCTAGTGTATAATCAAATGTAATACCGCAATGGGGTAAAGTTATAGCCCCAATGTAATAGTGCCTAATAATTGCGCAAACAAGAAGTGCAGAGCTCTAAAATTGGCAACTTCGTCGGATAGTAAAATAGTCGAGAAACTACAACCATGAGGTGTGTCAGCCTCTGTTGCTGGTGGTGCTGCATTCCGACCCTGGTGGTTGGCCAAATAATGGGCATAGTTGAAACCGAAGAGGAAAATGGGATAGTTCTTTCGATTATTTCAGAAGTCGATCGATTGGTAACAATCAGGAATTTCATCACATACTTTGATAATCAGAAGCTGGGCAAAAGATTTGCAGTGGCTTCAGCGTTGCAGCAATCTCTAATGGTAACATTTGAGCGTCCGGTGATTGTGGCTGGCTACTTCACAATATCATAAATTCAGAAAATCTGGCGGTGATATTTTTTAACGGCATTCAAGATCCTATGCTTAGCGTGGCGCAAAAAACATTGAACGGGCTTCAATCAATGTGGATCATATTTGTGTACAAAACGGATGGAATTTTGGCTTCGACAACTATTTTAATCGAGGCCTTCTTTCACTGGTGCTCTAATACAAATTTCGATAATGTGATGCTCGTCTTGAAGCGAAACAACGAGTACGAGATTTGGTCATTTGAAATTAAATTGAGAATGAAAATATTCCAGTTTTCGGTAAAGTCTATAGGCAAGGCGATAAGTCAGAAATTATGCAAGCAGGGAGAAATGGGACAGTACAGATCTTTGGTTGCTGTTTTTCAGAGTTTGCCAGATGCATTTGTGGTAAATGATTAATTTGTGTGCTATAATTCATTTACATCTTAATTAAATCATTTTACTTTTAATTTACAGTACAATTCTTCAAAGAATGGCACCCTTATGCGCCTTGGCGGTGATACTGGCCTCCTTTTAAAGTCATTTATTCACCACATAAACGGCTCCATGAACATTTTGCCACTATCATATGATGAATATATGAAGAAAGTTCCACAAGACTGTACGCAAGATAGATGCATTGATATCGGCGCAAACATGCTATCCAACTTCAGTGTATCTCCGCAGAGTCCGGTGTTGAGGGTGACACAAACCTGCTTGGTGTTGCCCTACGATAGTTGGATTGCTCTGGAAGTCTATCCATTATCGTTCGACAAGAACTATTCCCTATTAGCATTTATTGTATTATCCACTGTTGTGTATGTCGTGATTAAGCGCATATCGAATCCACACTTATCTCTAGGTGCGAGCCTGTTTAGTTGTTTACGACTCGCTGCGGGACAATCCATACCAGGCCGTACATTCCGTCGCCTGGGCCTCCCAGAGAAGTTAATGGAGGTCTTTACGCATATCTACAATCTTTTGGTTATGAGCCTTTTTGGCAGCGCCCTGGCTACGGCTCTAATTACAGGTTTGCGCAAACCCGAAATTCTGGACACTAAAACGTTTTTGGCCAGTGGACTGCGTATTATGGTATTTCCCGAGCAGCTGCAGAGCCTCTTCGACTATATACCGCATGCGTTAAGTAATCGTTTGATCGTTGAGGACGAGAGTGCCAGGGATCGTCATGTTTACTCCTTGAACAACAGCTATGCGTATGTCATGGAAACACACAAATGGATAATATTGGAGTTCATCCAGAGGCGCCTGCGCAAACCCAAGCTGCGATTGGGTCCACAAGCGTTGTGCAGTGCTCAACGGTATTTGACGTTTCATATGCGTTCGGGTCTGTGCTTCGGGCGTGCTCTGAAACAATTTACAATGCAAGCACACGAGGCGGGGTTAACTAGTAAAAAGTGGACGCAACTAGGACTTCGTCAGGCGGAGGCGGCCGGCATGCTAAGTCAGGCACCCTACGATCCGCTCATCCGGCAGCCGCTGCAAATAAAATTCTATGGAGAAGCTTTTATTTTCTACAGCTTCAGCTTGTTTCTGAGTCTGATAACTTTGGTGCTGGAGTGCCTGTACGCGTATTGTAGGACACGTAATACTGTAATCATAGTTTAAACGTAATTTTGATAGATTATGCAGTCGAATATATTTTTTATGTTACGTTTCCAAGCCCTTAATAAACCTCGCCCACCTTTAGCACCCAACAAGAATTTTCGATTATAGTAGGACTTTGTAGAGAGTATCGTAATGTTACCATGATATGTGGACCATATAGAAAGAGAAATTTCCTACCACATTATAGAATATCATTAACAGCTGATGATATAGCCATGTCGGTCTGTCTGTTTCTATGCGAACTAGTCTCTCAGTTTTAAAGTTATCGTCTTTGCATGGGTTTGTCTTTTTGTTGGGGATACTATCGGGCCAGTATATTTTATACCCGACAATGGAACGATGAGTCGAAAAGAATACAGGGTCCTTTTTCTTACTTCATATCCACTTCAGAAATACAAATAGGAAGTAATATTGTTTATTTATCTATTAAGCTGCATTAATGATTGCAGTTTTATTTCGAGAGCCAGTTTCATTGGCAATAAAACTTGATGTATAATAACATTGAATGGCACAGTGGGGTAAAATAAAAAGCCAAACGTAATGGTGTCTAATAACTGTGTCCAACAAGGATTGCAGAGCTTTAAAATGGGCAACTCCTTTTTATAGCAAAACAGTCGATAAACTACAGCCATGAGGTGTGTTAGCCTCTGTTGCTGGTGGTGCTGCATTCCGGCCCTGGTGATTGGCCAAATAAAGACCGTAGTGGAAGATGAATATCAAAACCAATTTTTTGCAATCATCTCACAAGTGGACAGATTGGGAATATTCAAGAACTTTATCACATACGCTGATAATAAGGAACAGGCAAACGAATATGGAACATCCGTTTCGCTGCAGCAACGTCTAATGGAAACCTTCGAGCGACCTGTTATTGTGGCTGGTACCGAAATTGGGCTGCTTCGAAATATCATCAATGATCGAAATCTAGCGATAATTTTTTTTAATGGCATGCATGATTCTACGCTGAGTACGGTGGATGAAACCTTGAGAAGTCTGAAGACAATTATGACTATATTTGTGTACAAGTTGAAAAGGAATCTAATGCCCTCTCTTGGTCACTTGGAAGTCTTCTTTACCTGGTGCTGGAATAGACAGTTTTACAATATTATACTTCTTCATAAGTACAAAAGCACGTTTGAAATCTGGTCATATGAAATGAAAAGAGAAATGAAGATATACAGACTAACTAATTTGACCGTAAGCCAAGAGGAACAACGGGCTCATTATAAGTTCGCTGATATGGGACAATACCGATCCGTAGTTGCCGTTTACCAGAATTTGCCAGATACATTTTTTGTAAGTGCCGATAGACAGAATTTTATGCTGTTACTCTCCGAAAACAATTTTTTTTTTTGACAGTACAAAAGCAAGGACGGCACTGTTGCCCTTGGCGGTCATCTTGGTATTCTGTTGGATGAATTCATGCGCCATGTCAACGGAACTATGGACATTATGCCGTTGTCATTTCGCAATTATACGAATGCAATCGCCAAAGGTCATAAGGGAGGTCGAATTGTTGATATTGGCGCGAATCTGGTGACGGACTTGAGTTTTGCATCGTATAGTCCGATAGTATTGGCAACACGCACCTGCCTGATCTTGCCCCATAATGTGTTTTCTATACGGGAGTTTACGTTAACCTACAACGGTAACAATTCATTAATTCTGTTCTTTGTATTTTACACCATCGTACAAGGTGTGATTAAGCGAATAGCAAATCCACGCTTGCCATTTGGTGTGCTGGTATATAGGATTTTTCTGCTCGCCATGGGACAATCTGTAAGCAGCAGGTTATTTCGCCGCATGTCCTTGGCAGATAAGTTTATGAATATTTCAACGAGTATCTATAATCTTTTGCTCAACAGCCTTTTGGTAAGCGCCTTGACGACGGCTTTTATCGCAGGTTTTCCACGGCCTGAAATTGTTGATGCCGAAACATTTTTGGCCAGTGGACTAACTATCATGGTTTTTCCCGAGCAGATGGACAGTCTTTTCGATGACATACCATCGGCTCTTAGTGAACGGCTTGTAGTTGTTGATAAGGAGACAAGGGATAAGCATGTTCAAGCCCTGAACGACAGCTACGCCTATGTGATGCAATCACACAAATGGCTGCTAATGGAGTTCATCCAGCGGCGGCTGCTCCAGCCCAAACTGCAACTGGGCCCCAATAAGTTGTGCGGCGTTCAGCGTTATTTGAGGTTTCATCTGCGTTTGGACCTATCCTACGCAAGAGTTTTAAAATACTTCGTGACACAAATACGTGAAACGGGTCTGCCTAGAAAGCTGATGCAACTGGGTCTGCGTAAGGCGCAGGAGACTGGAATTATTAGTGAGGCTCCTTACGAGCCGCCCATCCGATATCCATTGCCCATAAATTTCTTTGAGAAGGGCTTTATATTGTTCGCATGTGGTATATCGACGAGTCTGGCGGTATTTTTGCTTGAGTTGGTCTACTATCGCTGGAACCATAGTCGCAACAGTCTACGCAATATAAACATAAGGTTTTAGGGATAAGTTATGTATTTAAATCATTAATATTGTCAGCTTTAAACGCTTAATAAGTCTTGCACGGCAATTAAAAGTGATTAACTAATATATATTCTTAAATTATTTTGTCCATCAGTGTGTCTTTCAGTATGAGCACGTGGATATCAAAGTCTTCAAAGGCAAAGAGATTGAAAATTGTAGTGTGGGTGTTGCATTTGCCCAGCCCCTGTTTCTTGTACGGCCGTTGAGTTAGACGTGCCACTGGCTAAGGAAACCTACTAGTGTATAGAGCATTTCGGGGGTCGTTCACTTCTTGCTCTTGGTAATGAAGCTCGTCGGATGGGGCGTGGATTTTCTTGCGTGGCTCTCGTATAGTATGAACAGATTAGGAATATTTCAGTTTTTGAATACGTGGTCCTTATTCGACTAGAAATTATAGGATTGATGAATCGGTGGAGCCTTGCGATTTGCCATACAAATAGGTTTATCAATACCCATATATTGTGCTGGGCACAGGGAAAGATAAAACATATTTGGTGCCTTTTTAAACACGCCGTACTTAGAGACTGTTCAGCTTACCATATATAATTTTAAGCATACATATCGAAAATGAATTCTTTTATAAAACAGTTTTGCTCATTCACATTTATTTTTAATAAAAGCCTCAGAACAGTTTAAGTTTATTTACAGCTATAGTTAGTCGAATGTTTACTTTAATAGCTCGGCATAGTGTTGCTTGTGCATATATTTAAAACGCCAGACGAAACTGGAATCAAGTAAAATTAATAAGTTTAAGTTAAGTCACTTTAAAATTGTGACTTACCAGATTGCAACAAAAGCCACCAAAAAGAGCGCGGCGCTAAGAAAATTGAAAAGGCCCGGAAAAACAGACAACGAGTGCTGATAGATTAATGTATAGAGCGGTGCGGCGACTGATAAAAAATGAAAATATTGTAAATTAGATATATAATAAAGTAAAATCAAGTAAGAGGCTCTTGTCGGGAGTTACCAACTAGTGGATACCCTTAACCCTCTTCTACCAACACCAAACGCAGATCGCGCTAAACGCTCCTTTGCTTTAGCAGTAATAATGAGAATGAAGCGCTATCTTAGGCATGCCAAAGATATAATACCCATGCCTGACCCAACCTTTTCATGCTTTGACCTTATCTAAGAAACGCAAGTATCACTAATATATGCCGCGTTTGGCCAAGACAATGAATGAAGATGGCAACACAAAAAGGCGTATTTTCTTGATTGATTCTGGAAGCAGTCAACTTTGGTGATTCTATCTCTTATAACTTACGAGATTTGCCTAAAAAAAAAGAATTTCGATAACGATTTTCATCGATTACCTGAAACTATATTCAAAATTTCAAGTCTCTAGTTTTAATACGTTCAGAGATTCTTGCGGACGGAGGGACAGACAGACATAGCTAGACCGACTCGGCTATTGATGCTGATAAAGAATATATTTACTTTATGGGGACAGAGACGCTTTTTTATGGCTGTTACATACATTTGTACAAATACCCCTATTGCCCATTTTTAATGCGTTAAGGGTGTAATAAACTGAAGACAAAACTTTTAGGTAAGGCACATACCGAAAGGCGCAAAGGATTGAAAAACATTCTTGATGGAGAAAATTTTACCTGTAAGTAAATTTATGTTATTTGAGGTATATATCTATAAGGGTTTATATACTTGCCCAAGTCAGAGGCGGGCACTATATTCGAGACAATAGTGCGGCACATGGGCCCGCCAATGGAACGAAATATCCCAAAAGCCACTGATAAATACATATGCCAAGGAAAAGAAGCACAACCTCTGGTTAGATTGCTTAATATTTCCGAGAACAGGGAGAGCAGAGCCAAGGTGACCACAGAAAGACCAAAAACCTAAAAATTTTTAAATAAAATGAATGTAAATAAAATTAGCTTGTAGGAAAAAAAATAATATTTTCACGCTGCAGATTAAAAAAAAAAACAGATTGTTGTCATAGGAGACATATAATATTCCGCCTTAGGCGACCGGTGAAGTTCGCTATTGGTCAGTTTGGAATGCCCATATGCTCCTATACATTTCGTGATGAAATTATAATATCCTCTACAAGAGTCTAACAAGTTACACAAGCTTTTTAACATACCTTGCGCAGCAAAAGAATACCAATGAGAGCGCCCACCATGGGCACCATTTGGCTGATAGTTTCAAATAAGGTGAACTCCCGCACGGACCAGTGGAATTTTTGGCGCACAAACAAATACATGACTGTCATAGCACCATCTAAATGGAAGGCAATTAGATATGAACACGTTGATTCATATAATAGCACTTACCCACAACAAACATGGCCATAAACATGGCCAAGGTCACCAGCCAAATGATTTCGCGTGCGTGATTGTCACGTGGCTTGCAGCAGGTTCTGAACATATCTTTGATGTGGGTCAAGCTGAAAAGACCCATGTTATTGGCATCTGTGGCAGCCTCCGGCTCATTCTGTTGCTGCTGCTGCTTCGCTTCATTGGTTACAGAATCGAGCTGCTTAGTCTCGTTCCTTTCGTCCAAATGTTTTTCGGATGTGTAAAGCACATTTGTCGAACGCTCTTGCTTGTCATCATTTATTTTGAGTCCAAATAAACTTATATTTTTGGTGTCTGTTGCGGCTTTTGGCCTTGTATCTATGGTTATAGGAACTATCTGTTTGTCGTGCTCTTTTTTTTCGTCATCTATAACATCGTTTGGACAATCAATGGACACAGTATTTAGTTGCATATCGCATGCTGAAAGGGGCACATCCTTTTCGGGTTTTTCGGTTCTTTCGGCACTCTCTGCCGCATCCTTCTCCAGGCGTATGTGCAAACTCTCTGGCACACAGCATATAATAAATAATGTGGCCAATACGACAATGGCCGCTGAGATGCTCTGGGTTATAGATGCACTGGTGGCTTCATACACATAACTGGACAACAAGGAGCCACTGCTGATAGCTATAAACATCAGAAACTCTATGGCAATCATTCTATAGGGCGAAAAGAAAAGGTATAATACTTCATAGGGTATACTTAGAAAAATTCTGTTACTTTTATCAATACTCTTTAGTTGTGTATAACTCATCATTGTAATAATTAGATACAAAGTAAAATCACTTGAAATAAGCTAAAAGCTTTGGCAATATTTGTACTTTTCTTAGGTACAAAATACCCATCCTTTTTCTCTGAGTGCAGAGCTCATACCCACCTGTAGGGTCTGGTTCTAATATCTGTAATATCCGATAGAAAACAAAAGGCGGCCACAGAAAATACACACATGCCGCCCAGCAGGGAGTGCGGCACTGCAGCCATCGTATACCACCAGGGATTTATGTCCCGACTGCTGGATAGCGCACATATTAAGGTATTTATTAACGCAGAGCCAGAGAAACCTGCAAGAACATTAAAGGACTTAAAGGTTGATAGGACTTTCGCTTGAGCCTTGCCTACCAATCATTGAGACCACCAGCAATGGCTTGCGTCCATAATGATCCGACCAGGAGCCAATAAATAGGCCACAAACGGCTGGCACAATGCTCTCCATTAAGGTCCGGATGAGAAACATGTCTGCCACATATGATTGAATCTCCGTTTCAATGGCCTGGAAACCTAATGACATTTAAATAATTTCTCACGCATTGTATCATTACTTGGAATGCACATACATGAACTTCATGGCTGGCATCTTTGTCATCCAGCTGCCTGCAGTCGGTCTCATTGTAATGAAATATTACCCGGCATGTCTGATATATAATCTGATTACGCATTACAGTGCCTGCAATATTCGATACTGTTTTATGCAATTCCTATTTAAAAGTGAATGCTTACCCGACAGCAGATGCGAAAATATGAGCATAAATACAACTGGCTCTATATAAAACATGTAGAATAGTTCTCGCCATGGCAAACTTTTCAGCTTATCGACTGCCGTTGATATAGACACTTTCTCAACCATTGATTTTTAGGCAAAGCACTTTAAGGGAATTATATTTGCGTTAATTTTATTTCAATTCCAGTAATAAACAATTGCTAAAAATTTGTTATTTTATTTCATCACAAAATTATTTAAAATCTTTGTTTTTTAACCTTGACTAATTTTTGCACTCATCTGCAAAATAATTAAATCAATTTTTATTTTGAGTTTTCAGTTATAATATAAATCAAATGTATGTATTAATTTAATTGGTTTCTATAATTATTGGGCTCGCTACGCTTGTTAAACGTATTCCATTTCCGAAAACGGCCCTCGAAATAATTCACTGAGGCGACACGAAACCGGCTCCGTATTTGGATCGTCAACAAGCTCGATCAAGCTGAGTATACGAAATGAGCTGCTACCGGTAAATCGGTGCTACTATATATAAACTGAAACTGGTTTTATATCATTTATGGGGGAACTTTTATTCAGAGGCAGGTGAACAGCCAAACTCGCACACGATGCAGTGTAATGGAAATTGTTTGTCATGATAGCTTAAATAATGAAAATAATCAAATATTTAGAATCTGAATTATATAGTATTACGACGAGCAGAACGATTTATTTATATTTCTAATTGCTTAAGCAATGCGAAAATAACTGCAATTTGAGTGTAGGAAACACGTGAATCAACTATTGCTGATAAATTTGTATTAGATTTTATGGGCACATCGTTATTCTAGCTGCTTTCAAGTTGGAATAAATTAACTGTAATGGCAAAGAGTATTCAAATTGTATTCAAAGAATACATAACCTGATCAATGAGTTGTTCGTCTATCTTTATTCTTCTATATTATACATACAGGTAAAGTTTCCTAAAGTACACATATCAAAGCTCTTGACTAAAAAACGTTTCTGCCTTTCAGGATATTTTGATAAAATGTCAGGAAATTAAATAGTCTCAAAATAGGATGGATATTTTGCTACTTTTAAAATTATATTGAAATTATAATATATAAGATTGAAATTATTATATATAATGTATTATATTATATAATATTATATAATAATTATATAATAGTACAATTATTATTGTTATTCTTGACTCTAAAATTATTATAATACACTTTTAAAAAAATAATATAAATTACAATAATACTAGGAGCTGTATCTTATTGGGATTAGTAAGTGGAGTTGAAAGTGGGCGTGGAAAGTGGAGCTTTATATCATGGAGTTTTATATCCCAAGGGTATTTCAACTTTGGCAAACTCAAGACAGTAATATCAACTTTTATTGTTTACCTATATGTTTATATAATATTCCAGCTTGTCTAAGCTTTTAGTTGCTGTATAAAGACAAGGTATAAAGTTAGTAATCGTGATTAACTGTCTTAATCACTTACTGTTTAGCATATAATTTAATTGTTTAGGGGATAATATATATATAATTCTAAGCTAGCTATACATAAAAGAGGTATTCCCAGAAAATGTTTGCGAACATATGCTTTTATTTTATTTAAATTTCACTTAAGAATATGCTGCAAATATCATCTCTCCGAAGTTCGTGTTTTATTGGAATGCAGCTGAGCAGCAGGGTTGGAGCAGCTGAAAGTTTTCCGAGAAGTCATTTATGTATTGTTTCCAGCAGCGAAAAGAAACCCAAGCAAGAAAAAGAAGCAATGGAAATACGATTTTATAATTTTATTCTGTTACATTAGCCATAAATGCGAAATATTAAACAATCTACCCGCGCATACTTTGGCCAGCATGATGCCAGCTTTCAAGCTTTTTCTTTTTGTTTTTTACTATTTTTGTTTTGTTGGTTTTCAGCTCGACACATTCCAAAGTAGCGGCAACCGCAGCTGCGACGCCCTAGCCTAGCGAGCGGGGCTGGGCAGGGTATAAAATATGCATACAGATTTTAAGGGCTCTTTTTCCAGCTGCTTTAATTTGCACTTGTGCTGCGGCTAAAATTGTTAACCAAAATAATTTTGTAATTATTTTCTTAAGTTTCGTGGGTTTGGGTTTTGGGTTTTGGATTTTGTGGCCTAAATAAAAATATTTTGGCGTTGCTTGTGCGGTATCTACGGCGGCGCATAACTAAATTAATTGCCAGGTCCCGTAGTTAGTGAGTTATGCCTGTATGCGTATTACGCATACGCTATGTATGCTGCCCCAAATTGTTGAAAAGCTAATTGTAAAGTTTTCCGCCACTTTTCTCTATTGTAAGTCCGCCTAACAAATGGGGCCAGCGTCAAGTTGAGCCTTTAAAAGTGCTCTGCTCGGTGTTTAAGCAACAAAAATGTGTTTCAGATGTGAAACAAGTTCATGCAACCATTGTCTGACATCCCTCTTGTTGTTGCGCAACATGCAACATCTAAGGCGCATGTTTTGAGCCAAATACCAACGTTTTGTCCACGGCTTTTGTAACAGAAAACAGTCGAAATGGCAGGAGAAATTCGCTCAAAAATATCATAGCAGAACGCTGCAGTCGGTTACAAACGACTCTGCAATACACTGTTCCCAGTGTAAAAATAATTGAACGTCAAGAGCCTTCAATTGGTGAAGATTGGATTATAATCCCAAAGGCAATTATCAGTTGCGACTGGCTGCTTGGGATATAAGATTTTATTAGTAGAGGTCATAAAATGTCAAAATGCAAAATAAGGCTGAATAAATGTGAGGACAGCGAGTTTTATGGTGTTCCTTATAGGAGTGGCTTAAATATCTTTTACTTTGTCAGAAACGGATCCAAAAAGTGATATATTTTGAAGCTGTGTATTCCATATAGGAACTAAGCAACTCGTTGTTGCGTTCATCTAGCTCTAAATATTTTCGAAATATGCTAATTCAATATAATAATAATTAAATACAAATTGTAGGAGATGGCGATAACAATATTTTATTAGGCTTGCCTCTATTCCTTTTCGAAACGGACCCAATTAAATAGGTGCACAAACGGACAAGGCGAATCGACTCGATTTTCTATGCTGACTAAGAGCATATATACTTTAAACTTATCCTTATATATGAAGATGGCTCTTTTTGGCTGTTACATATATGTGCACAAAACCTTTATACCCTTTTCAACCACTGTCCATGGGATTAGGGTATAAAATAAAAGTAATAAAAGGACAAGGACGACGTCGAGTCAAGTGTCGAAAAAAACGGTCGAAAAAAGCAATTTCTTAAGCTCAGTACGTGCCTAAACTCGTCTTGGTTGGCCTTAATTATTACGGAATGAAATGGCTAAAAGGGACACAGGCCCAAAAAGTGGCAAAGAATTGTTCAACTAATAGCTGTCCACCTGCTGAATAGTTAAAATACGAATACCCTTGCTCAGCTCGAGTTCCAGTTGCGTGTTTTAAATAAGACGTTGCGAGTCCCATTTGTAGTTTTTCTTTAATTTTTATGGCAAAGCTGACGATTTATTATGCAGATAAGGCTGTTAGAGCTATAAAAATAAAGAGGATGAGGGCTGCGAAGTAATTTTGTGCCTTCAGGTGTGGGTATCAGCCCCCCCTATCATTCACAGGTCTTGCCCATTTGTTGGTTCAAACCCTGTCACATATTTTTTCAAAGTTTTAATGAAACAATTGAATTAGCTAAGAATTTTACGATTTTTTTTATATACTCATATTTTTATATATACGATGCGCTTAAAAATGATCTCCATTCAAGAAAATAGGTCTTCGAATTTTGCTATGCAGCCTAGCATAGTATCAGATAGACTTAGGAGATCTAAAATTATTCCATACTTTGTGTTTAGCCGCATTTTGTTGACATATGAGGTAAATACGCAAACTGTTTAATTTTGATTTCACAGTTTTAAAAGCAAATTAATTCTGACATCAATTCTATGAAAAGTTAGCTTTTGTGAATATACTCTTCAAGGTAGATTTTTAATAATTAAACCTGTTTATGGGCCCGCCGTTGTGAATCTTAATTTGCCATTGTCTTTGCGCAAATTAAAAACAATTAAGAGTTGCTTTTTGAAGAGGGTTTTCGCCGAGTACTTTGCAATTAGGTAATGGGCATTAGCGACCGGGAAAGTTTTTAATCCCTTTTAAGCCGCTGCAGCTGCTCCGCTTTTATGAAATTACAAATTTCAATTCAGTGCGCAAAACCAACCTACGAATCAATGGCCGCTTTTTTAATTGGCTCTAGTTTGCGGGTTGGGTTTTCGCCTGTGTCCGCATTGGAAAGACCGCTAATTGTTGAACTGGGCCGCGTTTTGCGGCCCGAAATAAGCCCCACAACTGACAGCCCCGAATTGACAGCTGCATTTTGCGGCCAGCTTTTGTTTTGTGCACTTTTAATTGCATTGGTGTTAGCCGAGAGTCGGCATGTGCTTCATTTATTGAGTATCATAGAAACTGTAATCAGATAGTAAATAGACGATTGGTTACACACTTATCAAAATGTACAATGCAGCCGTATTTAAATTTATCGAGTTTCGACCTTTGTGGCTATAACTAAGCCATAACTTTTTAAGGCTTGAATCCATTTAATTTTATACAATTTAAGATGAGTATGGTGCCATGTGCTAAGTAAAAGACATATAACCCATTAACCGCATACTTTTACATATTCATACACTTATTTAATTATGTTCACAAAAATATGCATCTGAAATTGTAGTTAAAAATTAGAAATCTTATATTAATTCATGTTGATCATCTCGCTCTTAATCGATGTTTATTAAAGCTAAAGATCTTTTCTTTACTGTAGCAAAATTAAGCTTATATATATTAACCTTATGCTAATGGCTGCTGAGTTTGAATCACAATGTTTGACTCCACTTACAAGTCAAATTTTACAAAACCCCTTTAGACCCCTCCTTTAGACCCAAAATTCAGCTTGATCAGTCAGTCAGTCGGCTAGAACAAACAGTTTTCTATGTATTATTTCTAGAGGAGTCTGCAGCAGTTTGCGAAGCTTGTTTTGCAAGCTTGACAAATTTCCACACATTTAACCAATTTGTTACGAGCGCTTTCACATATTTGGCCAGTTGCACATACGCGTGCACGCACAACTCGTATCAATTTAGTAGAATAATATGTAAGCGAATATAATAGAATGAGGACAATTTATACATATGTATGTATACAAATGAATGTTTGTTTCGCGGAATATTAAATTAATGAAGTCGTTTTGCAGACACGTCTTGCTTTGATAACGCACATTCTATCAAATGTGCACAAAGTACCATATGTGGTTTGGTTTCCTATATGTAAATATTTGTTATGGAAATTATATTATAATTTAATGAATAAACTGTCGTTATCAGCGAAACTTAAGTTCTTATATTAAGAATCTACATTGTGTTTTGGCGTAAGCTGTTCCTGTATATACATAAAATCCTATTAATCGCGCTCTGACATATATATATATATGAATATCTGCATAAGACAAAGTT